AAAGTCATTTTAATAGTTCTGCTCCATTTTAGGACCACACCAGTGATTAATTGTGTATAATCATAAATCATCATCAGCTGATCTTCCATTACTGAAAAACTATATTTTTGGTGTATTCATTATTGCCATGATGCTTGATGATCATTTAAGCAGTAACAGACTGTTTGTGTGTGTAGGTGTGCATGTGTCAGTCAGGGATGTGCTGTGTTGAAGGCTCAGTTGGGCACAGCGTTGGCTGAGAGCGTCAGCGTGCGTGTTAATGTGCTGAACAAAGGCACAAATATGTATCTCTCCTCGAGCCCTTGTTGTTCCCGACCTCGAGAGTTTGGTACAGCCTTCCCTCGCAGCCCTGTCCCCGTCTGTGTGTGTGTGTGTGTGCGTGTGTGTGTGTGTGTGTGTGTGCGTGTGTGTGTGTGTGTGTGTGTGTGTGTGTGTATTTTGTGCCCTACCCTGAAAACACAGCACATTCTGATAGAAATGCACTGCCTTATTGTAGCTGATTTCATGCCTGTCAAGCCAGCTGTCCGATGGGAAAAGAAAAAAAAAGCCCTTTATTTGCAACATGTGTAGTAATTACATCAACCCTTGAATTAGTTTGTAGCCTTCAGGGTGAATCACAAATTGAATTCAAACCCTGGAAAAAGCATGTGTTCAACAAGTTGGTCCTTTGTCAGTGGCAGCTGCATGGGAAGCCGATGAGCGCCATTGTTCAGCAGATTAAAACTGTACTCGGCTATCTAAAAAGATGTGTAATAAAGCCAATGACATGGTTCATTTACATCCCATAGGGTTCAGTGCAAAGGGTCATCAGCATCTTACAGATGTGTTCTCAGATGTAGCACTATGCCTACATTACATTTATGGAACTATAATTGATTATGCAGTAGTTTCCCCATCCTTTATTTACTGTTTTTTAACAGGAAAAGCTGTTGAAGTCTGACATATATGAAGGGTCTCTGCAAAATTCAGAGCGTATGAGTTGTGTGGACAGTGGACACAGTTGTCAACATGGAGGTGGCTTAGCTGGCGGCTAGCAGCTAACAGTGCTAACTCCATAAATGGCGCTAAACAACGGCAATGGCAACACTGTACTGATATCAGCGGTAACTGTTGTATAAGCACAGTCCAAAGTGGCGACAATGAGCTAGCCAGTGGGATACATACATACACTAACATGCTCACTTGGCCGGACCGCCTTACTACACACACAGAGGTAGCGTGACTTCAATCTCTGCTCAAGACACCATCACTCCACTTTATCTCCACATAGCAAATAGTGGTTTGCTGCTATATTAATGCTCTGAACGTGGCATATAGAACCTTTAAATCTCTCCAGTCACAGTGTTTGGTGAAAGTAATTCCTTTTGAGACACCTTGTCCTTGCTGAATATGAGCGGACGAGCTTGCAGCGACAAAATAGGTTTGACTGAACTGTAAGCTATTGGAATGTCCTAACCGGTGTCACTTTGCTGGCATTTTGAGCTGCATTTTTGTTGGACTTGGTCGAACTTTTTCCTGTTATCTGTACGATAGCTCCTCTTTTGACTGCAAAATCCTAAATAAGGTGGCAGCTGGATGGCGGGAGATCGCTAGGGAGCTCAACATTTCCGGAAAATGATCATTGCTAATAACAGCCTACTTGCTGATGGTTTTCTTCTATGTCATCTCTAGTAAAAATCACAATATAAAATGTGTGTTTTCTGTTTAAAGGGTAAACGTAGGAAGATACCAAGTACTCACTCATTTTTTAAGTGGTTACGTCTCTGGTTTGATCTCATGCGCACAGCTGATCGGGACATTGAAATCCAGGACATGTGGTGGACTGGCACCAACTTTTTCTAATGGAAACCCTGTTGTACTTGTGCATAGAACATTTAATCTGTTATGGTTATAATAAAGTTACAGTGTAGTGACAGATGGTTCATAACACAAGTTTGAGCGTATAACACTTCCAATAAGATTGTTTTTTATAGGTTTCAAGGGACGGGGATATGGTTCTTATGGGGCTTATGGAATAGATTTCGTTCACCTCTTCATATTTGTAACTGCAACTTTACATTACTGTTATTTGTTAGAATAAGAAAGGCTTGAAGATTCAGTGAGGTCTGTGTTTAAAGGTGTGGACACATCAAACCGACATCAGAGAACTAGAGGCGATGAAAGCCAACTGCTGCGTCGTCTACGTCGCTTCACGTCGCCCTGTGTCAGTTGCATTTGAACACACTACACGGACTACATCCGACGGCCAAGTGGCACGTACGTTCTGCGCCTGCGTGAGAGAGAGCGTAGTGATAGAGTGTTTCATCCTGTCAGCCGAGGTGTTTCCTATTTGTGCAGCCGAGCACCGCAGCATCTCCACGGACTATTACATTCAGACGGTCCCGGTGTTTCTTCCGCAGGCTCCACTTCACTCAGCTGCCCGATAAACCCGCTGCGTCTTCCCACTTTAACCTGAATAACAAACCAGGGCTCGGTGCTCCGGTTGGATCCAAACGGAGAGCTGGGGCTAGCTCAGAGACTAGCGGAGGCTAACTGGCTGTGCGTCCTTCCGTTATGCTGCGGCTAACGCTCTGCAAGCCACTCCCAGCTAGCTCCGGCTTTCCGTTTGGATTCAAACAGAGAGCCAGGGCTAGCTGGGAAGCTAGTGGAGGCTAACTGGCTGTGCTTCCCTCCGTCATGCTGCGGCTAATGCTCCACTAGCCTCACAGCTAGCTCCGGTTTGTTATTCAGGTTAAAGTGGGAAGAAGCAGCGGGTCTGTGGGCAGCTGAGTGAAGTGGAGCCTGAGGAGGAAGCACCGGTTAGCCCCGGTTTCACTACAGGGAGATTCACTTGCTACAGGGGCGAGGGAATAAAACCTGAACAGCCAGTCAGAGTGATCTCTTTCACCGACAACCTGCACTGCTGATTCAACATGCTCAATCGGCCGAAAAGCCGCCGACGCCGAAGGGCCAATGGTGTGGGACACACCACAAAAACTAGACCAACAGACGCTCACCGACGGCCCGACTTTGGTCGATGGCCGACCGTCGGCTTGGTGTGTCAGGGTCTTCACTTGACAGGTTAAATATATCTGAAGCCTACTTTCATTAGCACACCTTTTCACAAGTTACTTGCTCACAATACTGGAGGTCAACACTCAGAAATATTAGGTGAGCTTAAGCTTAAATTATTGATATAATATGAAAGAAAGTTGAACTGGAATATTTAAACGCCAGACACCTAGAAAACAAGCTCCTCCCTGTTGGCCTTGTCAAACTCCAAAAACACTTTGTCTACTTGTGACGGTGATGTTGCAGACTGGTGCTTAATTTACCTCACAAATAATGTTTAGCTGAGAGCAGACTGCGGCCACACTCATTGGACAACAGCCAAGCTTCATTGTGACCTTTGGGAACGTTACCAGCGGCATTAACTCTAATTATTTACAGCTGATATGATCTGCCCCTGCCGGTGTTTGCCAGTAGATCGTACATTTTGGAAGTAAAAAAGATTTGTTAGCTTAGAGCAAACCGGCATGTTTTATTGACCTGGAAAGGGTCCAGTATCCAACTATGGAACTAGACCCTCGCATTTCAATCAGAAATCTGCAACCAATACACTCAACGACATAAAAAAAAGTAAACTTTATTTATATAGCACTTTACATACAAACATGGTTAATACAAAGTGCTTTTTCTCCAAGTTCTTTAGATACATGTAAGAAAGACACAAGTGAAAAAGATGGCCATCTCACTCCCAAGGTATGGTAAGAGTTGGCATAGCAACCAATAAAACCCAGTAAGGATTGCAGTATAAATATCAGCTCAGTGGGAAAGCCCAAATGTTTGGCTGAAAACACCTTCTAAATATAGGCACTGCCTCACTATCTAAAGATATCAGATATTCTAACTTTCGATTATGGTTTCACACAGTACAGTAGTGAACATAATGATGACTGGTGTGCATATTGTTGGTAATATTATTGATTTCATTATTGACTCAGTGCAGCTGTATTTCCTGTGCTCTGATGCATGACTTCAGTCTACATGCTGTATGTTTTTATTCCGTACCGCTCGATTGCAGCTAAAAAGAAAAGACAGAAGATGAACTCCAGTACAGATGCACCACATTTAGACAGTCAATGTAGAGTCATGCGGTGAAAAGGAGAATCCCTCCTGTCAGAACTGTGCGTTTGTCAGATGCTGCAAAACACTTCACTAATCCCCGTTCCAGTGCCGCCAAACGCCACTAATTCTGGCTGCTCGTTCCCCCTAACTCTCTTTCTGTTGGAGAGGGTGAGTTGGGTGGGTGTATGGTGAGTGAGAAATAGAGAGAGTGCGAGCGCGTGGAGAGTCGCATAGATAAAAGCAGAGCGAGGAGCTGGGAGGGAGGAAGGGAGGGAGCCGCGGGCAGATGAAAGCGGGAGAGATCAAGTGAGAGACAAAAGGTGTGAGATAGATGTAACAGAGGGAGCCAGGCGAGAGGAAGAAAACACAGAGAGCAACAGAAGAGAAGAAACACCCCCTCCCCCCCTCCCCTACTTGAACCCTCCTGAGCTGAGCTGTGCCGTGCTGCGTGATACCGCCGCGGTGATTTCCCCCCTAACAGCCTCCGCCACGGAGCCCAGAGAGCGCAAGAGTGGGCTGTGCAGGAGCAGGAGCCTGTTGCCTGGATACCCCTGCTGTCGCCGCGGCGGCGAAAAGCCAGGATTGAACCGTGTGTGTGTGTGTGTTTGCTGGCTGGTGCTGCTGCCATGGGAAAACCACAGCTGGCTGACTGTCTGGATGGCTCGCTCGCTTGCTGGCTGACTCGCTGACATCGCACATATGCATAAGGAAGGAATCACCCTGCTACGGGGGCTGTGAGGAGAGGAGGTGGGAGGCTGGGGGTGGGACGGGGGGCACTCAGCTTTGGATGATGAAGAAAGCTGTTTGTTAGAGAGGGAGAGAAACCAGAGATTACCTTGGCTACTGAGTGACAGAGAGGAAGCTCGTGGAGTCAAGACCCTGAGACAGGGGAGAGCTGGTAGGGGAGGAGAGGGGAGAGGACTGGGGCTGGCTGGGTTAGTTCAGCAGGAAGCGGCTGTGTGGAGCCATGCAGATCCAGTCTTCTGGTCCACAGTCCAAAGCCTCCAGCTTCATCCTCAGTCAGAGATGTGTGCTGGCCTCCAAAATGGAAATCCACCGGTACGTACCTGCTGTTTTTCAAGTGGGTTCTTCTTCTGCTGTGTGTCTTTATCAACCTCTGTTGTTATGCTCACTCTACTGCAGGAACCTTGTCGGCATCCGTCTTTATTACTGCTCATTTTTGATCAGTGAGCGGTCAAGGCCCCGTGTCTCATGAATGAGTAGTTTAACTGAAGACAGCAAAGGAGGAATTCTCAAGCCTGTTACTAACTGCAAGGTCGAGCCCCTCACTCTGCCAGTGTGTCACGTTATCACATTTGAAGCACAAACCTGATTACACCTGCTCTGGAGCATGGAGGGTTGATTTTAAACTTTAAAGTAGAGTTGATCCTTTGCTGAAGACAATGTTTAAAGATCGTTATTCCAGGGGCACACTTGGATTTTAATTTACATTAAATACAGAAAGAAAACAAAGTTCTAAAAAGTGACAATACCACCGAAGACTTTGAATCTGTAATAACTAAATACTAGCAGTTCTGTGATTAATTGTCGGAGTGCTTTATTTAAAAACCTGTTTGCTAAATGCATACCCACTGTTGTCCTGCAGAAGCTCTAGTTTAGTGTTTTTGCAGTACTTGTGAGGAACGGCCTGGTCTCCCTAGGGGCTTGGTTGGGATGCAGCTAACAACATAACTTCATCTACATTAGCATCTGTAACATAATGGTAAGGAAAAAGACACTGTTTAATTATTGATGCAGTTTGCTAAAATGTGAGAAAACATCTCTCTTAAGCTTAGTTTGCTGATTGTTATGTTCACAAAGGGGGAGGTATTCCCTTTGCAACAGATATGTTATTGGATCCCTGTTGTCAACATGCATCCCTGATGCATTTAAGTTGGAAAGGACGCAGTAAACTCACCGTCATTGCGTCCAGGGGATGCATCCTATTATTTCCCTGATAATGCTATGTTGTGGATCATAGAAACAGTGGCGTGACTTTTCCACTAGGTGGGGGTATGTGCCATTTTTGTATTTTTGAAACATTAGTATTTTGAAAGTATTTCTCTTGTCACAAATACCACTGAGATTGAAGCATATGTTTTGGGTGATGTGTCTGAACTTTTGTTCTGGTGCTCTGCACAGTTCTGACAGCTGCCCCTCTGCCCACTCTCATCCTCGGCTCTCTGAAGGTCTGTGCACAGCTATTGCTTGGTGACGACAGTGGTGACTGCAGCGCGCCATGTAGGTCCTTGAGGACTGCCAGTAGACAATAGGGTGCCCCAGGTATGAGGTTTTTCGGTAGGCTGAAGCAAAAGTTAGCATCGCACTGGTTCCCACGTCTAAAATCCAAAATCCATTGGATTTTGGATTATTGCACAAAATGGGCTCCATGGCAAACAGACATTTATGGTACAAGTTACAAGTTTTGTTCAGCAACATAATCTTCAAAAATAAACACCACTTTTATGATTGTAGTTGTCGTAGTTTTTGATTGTCGAAGGTGTAAATGCAGTTTCCAGACAGGAAAGGTCATGTGACCATAGCTAACACTAGCTTAACACCACCACCATAACAAGACTGTAAAGCTGTGTTCAGCATGATGATGTTCTGTAGTCTCATTTAGCCACTTGTAAGCAACCGCCTTTTTCAAGACTGTAGAGGCTTCAAAGTTCACAAGTAGGGTATTTACTGATGTATTTTATGTTGTAGAACAAATTGTGAAAGTCTCTTAAGCTTGTGTTCAACTGCAGACCTTATTTCAGACAACTAACCAAAAACCCATTAAAAAACCCATTGACTTTGAGATGAGGGAACCGTAAGCGGGGACATGCTGACTCATTTCCGAATTTTGGGACTCATTCCTGGAGCACTCTATATTCATGAATATGTAGGCTATTACTACAGACAGTCTGTAATCTTATGTTGCAACGTCTGCTGTGACAGTAGATGCTGTAATCACTCATGTTGATGATGACAGGATGATGCTTAACCATCCAGGGGACACACTATATTGATGATTTATCAACATCGATATTAAAAGATGACGTTCAGGAAAGGAAAATGGCTGCTTGTGAGTGTGACTAAAATAAACAAATCCATCTCATTGTGTCTGACTGGCCTTATGGACCAAGAGAACATCCTTCAGCTGGATGAGCTGTCATGGAACCCACCAAGAATCCATGCTGTGTCAGTGTCCTTTAGCTGGTCAGTGAATGTCCCAGCTCCAGGGATGATGGTCTGTACCTGACCTCTGACCTCCCCGTAGCCAGAGACAAAAACACCCGGCAGCATCAGTCATGCATTACAACATGCATCACAGGCGAATATATTTTCTAACAATTGTAAGAGCATTTAGAATATAAGATACAAAATTCAGCAGTGTCACATATTTAGTGTCATTCTAGAGTTTTCTCAGGGTAGAGAGAGAGGGAGGAAAGGAAAGTAAAAGACTGAAAGTAAAACTGATGAGTGGAACAGCCAGTATTGACAGCAGGGTGTTGAGCCACTGAGACATGCTGTGGAGGTGTGGAGTCGCCAAGGCAGACTTAAAAGTGAAACAACAATCCAAAATGCTCAGGAAGTGTCAAGTTCCACCAGTCACCTTGTTTCCCTTTTCATCAAGTCAGTGATTCTGTGATCAGCTTGGTGGATGAGGTGAGCTTAGCTAGTTATTCCGGTCTGTCTGTCTTTCTGCGTAAACAGCATAGTCTTGTGCCCAGACTAGTGTGTGTGTGTGTGTGTGTGTGTGTGTGTGTGAGAGAGAGTGTGTCAGGCCTTGTAGTGAGAAGTGGTTGATGCCCAACATTGTAAGGTAGAATTTACAGCTCCACAAACACTCCAGAATCTGCAAATGTTCCCAGCCATGCCGGTGTTTACATGGAAACACAAGCAGCCCAAGCTACATTTGAGTCAAGCTCATCTGTGCTTAACATGCTCATTTCTTAATTTAAAAACACAGTGATGAATCAGTGTTTAAATTGAAAGCGCTGCTGTTTGTGTTGGCATGTAAACAATTGGTAAAACACAGTAACACAAATGAAAGAAAACAAAACCTGAGGCCATAGATCAACCAATTCAAGAATCCTGAAAACGGCGTATGCTGAAAACCACAGGTGTTATTGATAGCATTAAGGATGGCTCTGCTGTGTATTGATGTGTCCCAGTAGAGTGCCAGTGAGGCAGCATGCACCGTACCAGGACCCTGAATATGAAGCAGCTAAATGGAATTCGGCAGCACAGTGATGGATTGGTTAGCATTGTTGCCTCACAGCAAGAGGGTTTCTCGTTTGAACCCGGGGTGGGGGAGCCCTTCTGTGTAGAGCCCACATGTTCTCCCCGTGTCAGTGTGAGGTTTCGCCGGGTGCTCCAGTTTCCCCCCACAGTCCAAAGACATGCAGGTTAATTTAACCTGCATGTCCAAAGACATGCAGGTTAAATTGGCCGTAGGTGTGAACATAAGCGTAAGTACTTTGTGGCTATTTGTGTTGTGATGCACTGCTCTGCTCACATTAAACGTATTATATTTATACCACATACATGGATTTATCTGGGGCCCGTAGTCATAAGGAAAATCAACCCCCTTGAAAATACTTTAAAAATACTGAACTGTTTTTAAAGCTCTGTGAAAATGCCACCCAATATTAATCTTTCTTTGTTCTCACAGTCCTGCAAATATTCTCATTTGTACAACAGGTTGCAATCGCGCTGCCAGATGATATGTAGTGCTTGGTTAATGACCATCGGTTGCACACTACTTTTCATGATGCATTTTGGGATACTTTGAGTCCCTTAGAGAGGGTATAATAATTCTCGCTATACATTCAGACAGCACTCAAGAATGGTGAACTCACTATATAGTAGCCCCTTTTACACTGCCAGATTTTCCACGAATGTTGGGCCATTTTGCCGGCAAGTTGCGAGGGTTTGGACATACAGAGCTGGATTGGCAAGTTGATTCGAGGTGCCCAATTTTCCGCCTCATAGTCATATTGGCGGAACCCTTTTAGTTTAAAGCCACGGGAGGAGCTGTTGATGACGCTGCATGTGCGACCCACTGGTGGTGGATACACAGGAAACAGCTGATAGCAGGAATTAGCGAGCAGCTAGTAGCAAGAGGGAAACTGAGATGAGAGTAATCTGAGGAAATGAGGAATGGTGAAGGACGGGCCTACTTACGAGAGAATCGCCGAAGGACTGACTAGCCGTGGCTTCCCTCCCACGTTACTGTTTACGTCACACGCTGAGCTACATGTTTTGTTACTTGCTCATGCCCCCCATTGCCCCGAAAAAGGCGTATTCTGTATAAACAAAAGTAGGTAGGCGGCATTTTGCTGCACTCCCCGATTTTGTTTTTATACTGCCAATGCTGAAAGAAGACTGATTGCGCTTTCCTGCAAATTTGCACAACTCCTGGTTAAAAAGGGCTAGTGACTAGCGAGTGATTGAGGACACAGCCCAACATTTCCCACACAAAGGTTCCCACAAGGGACAAATGTCCCATTCACATGTGAGTTTTTGGCAACTCAACAGAATCTCACAGGTATTTTATGAACTTTTGAAGGCCATTTGGCCTCAATCCACTGTTGTGTTCATGCTGCTGTCGAAACAAGCCCATACAGTTGTTTCTCTGAAGGCTTCATTTGTTGGTTTCCATGGTTATATACAAGGACTGTTGCTCAGTCCAATCCAGACCTGCTCTGTGGTCAATGTGCTCCCTGTCTCTGTGTGAATGGGAACGTGATTGGACTCTTGTAAAATCTGCCAGGCTCCTAGTTAACACACGGGCTGCACTCTGAACCCTGGAAACACCCCCTAATACACTACTGTGTGTGTGTGTGTGTGTGTGGCATCTGGAGTGTGGTGGGGCTCCAGAGCCGTCAAGTGTTACAGTATGTGGATGAGACACTTTCAGACCTGTATGAGTAAGAGTTTGGACGATTTCTTTTAAACTGAGTGTAACTTTTATTTCTCTCCCTCCTCATCCTTCACTCATTTCCCTGGTTCCCTCTCTTCTCTCACTTCGGGGACAGTTGCCAAAGAGTTGCTGCTTAATCATGGTA